AGTGGTTCAAACCAGGCCCAATGCGAACTCCCCCTTCCTCCGGATTCAAACAATTGCAGGAGGAGGATTTTGAAAAAGACCCAGAGACAACCCACCTCAGTTAGCAGTTAGGTGGGCGCTTCCAACAAAAAGAACCTCAGAATTTAGGCTTGAAGGGGGTTTGAAACAGTCTTGTGCTTTGCTGGGCGGCCGAAAAGGAAGGGGGACTCCCCCTGTCCAAGGGGTTAAGGGTTTAGAGGTCATTCCTCCAGGCTGCAATACGGCTAATCACATAGAAAATTTGTCCTCTGGATGAACCTGTTTCTACAGTTGAGCTGAACTTCAGTAAAAACAAAAAGGAAGAAAGAAAAGGGGAGCGAGAGCAAAGAAATACCTTTTGAGCCTCTCAACGTGGAGGCGTCCTCTTCCCCCGAATGGACGGGGGTGCTTTTTGTCGTAGAGACAATGACACAAATAATGTCCAAATATCCATCTTTAATATCATGACGGGCACATATTCAAGGGAAAAACCGGAACGAGCCAGCGCTGGAGGCTGAGCCTGAGACCAAGAGGAGGTTCAGCTCAAAAGGGGACAAAGAAAGGGCTCTGGCACCGAAAGAGAAAGAAAGGAAGAGCCTGCTAGGAGATTAATCCTAAATTTTTCCTATCCGAAAGCTTTATAATTTAACTACCAGGTTTATTAAGATCCACTAACATTAAGTGTGAGTCTCTGAGATGTCCACTATTTAAGGGGGGAGAACTGTCCTTTTCTTTCCCTTACTTTATTATTTCTTTTATTGTTTTCCTTTAAATCAAGGAACATGCCTAGAAATAAATCTGCCTGGGNGACCTAAAAGCTATATAAACTATAGGAGATTATTTTCAGATTCCACTTTTCATTGAGAAGCTCTTCTGTAGTTTATTGCAGAAAACCCCATTTCTGTTTCAGAAAAAAAAAGAATTGCTCATATACAAAAAAGAACACCCCCCCCCCCAATATTCATAATGGTCTGTGCATTGTTATTTCTTTGCTCCCTTCTGAGTATAAACATGGCCTTCAATGCTTGGGAGAAACATTAAGATTTCTTTTCTCAGTGTTTAGGGCTGTCTCCATATCTCATTAGCTCTATATGGGCCAATGACTTGAAATATCAAGGGGGGGGAGAAAGAGGGGGGGGGATTATGATTTAGCTTGGCAAGGCCAGACTTTTCATTTCTGCTCATCCACTGGTTGACCCTGGGACCACAAGTCTATCTGAACAGAAGTTATCTAATAGATGTCTTTGGAGAAAACTAGAAAGCAGACTAAGTATATTAATAAATAAACAAATGTGTGATAATTGATGCTTGGTATCAAATGCACAATGCATTTACATAGAAGTCAAACCCATGAATTTAGTTTTAAGCAAAGTGCTTAAGTCTTAATCTTCTCAAATACATTTGCTAAGTATCCTATTTGATAAGAAGAGAAGTAGCATCAAACAATCTAGAAAAAAACAGGTAAATACTTTAGAAACTAGACTTATTGTTCCCAATTTAACAGTACTTATAAATAAGCATCAAGCAGTTCAATGTTATGCCTTGTTTATTCAGAAGGCCTACTGGGATCAGTGGAATAAATCCATGGCTAAAGTGTAGGGAAGGTTGCACCACAGGGATCATAACTATAAGGTTTCCCATTCCTACTTCTATAAAGTTCTGTTTCTCCACACATGGCCCTAATATAGTTTACACATTAGCTCATTAAGTGCTGAACACATATGCCATTGAACCAAAATGCATTTTCCATTGTTTTCACTTTCACCATTCGAAATAACTGAACTTTTGTGTCCCCAAATAAACTCAAAAATTGTTGTTGTTCAAATTGAAGCAGGGAGGATGGTTAGTTTTTTTGTGATTATTTACATTTTTATTTTCAGATAACAAAGTTAGAATCACAGACTACAGGCATTTAAATTGGTTTACACAGAGACCACAAAAAGAGGAATTATTAATTATTTTGAAACATTTGTATTTCTGTACTAGTTCCTGGTAAAGATACTGATATCTTTTATTTCACATTGCAAAACACTGTTCAGGTATCACTTTAGGACATCATGGTTGTAATTGACATAATACAAAATATTTATATTTAAAATATTTTAAATTTGCTATATATTCCCATCTTTGTAATACAAAACATTTTAGCTGCCTGGCAAATAATCACAGCACCCTTTATACAGAGGCCAGGAACATTACTTAAATTATAATAGGTTCACAAGTTGCTTTAATATATTTTAATTTTAAAAATTATTTAAAATAAATGTAAATAAACTATAGTGAGAAAATAGGGAAGGATTGTATTGTTAGTGCTTACTTCAAAACACTGAAAATATACAAATGCATACACCCTTAAACAACTAAAACACTGTGAGAGTTTTGAAAGGAAAAATGAGATATAAATGCACTAAGTAAATGAAAAACAAGCTTCCAGAATGTTATTTAAACGAAGACAAACTTTTGGCTTCAAGTTTTATAAACCTACAGTGGCATGAAAGATGATGAAGTAGTGTTCCTTTTATGACATGTTTTATCTTTATTGGAAGATATACTTATTTATAAATGCACATTCCCAAGAATCTAGAGGGGGGGAAAAGAAAGAGGAAAAATATATAAAGTGGGGCCCAAGTTAAAAAGCAAATTGAAATAAAATAAAAATTTACCTAGAGGATGTCCAGGGTTTCCTTCCAGGCTGCATTTATTCACAAATAATCATTCATAATCATAAATTCTACTTCTTAGCCTATTACAACCTTACTAGTTCATAGGGGTTTTTGTTTATTCTGGATCAACACATGACTTGGTGCCTCCTGGTTCATTCATTAAAACCAGGTTTTCTCAAACAACACACAAGATCTTCAGAGAGAATATTACAGCAAAGTGAGAACTTACTTTCTTTCTTTCTTTCTTTCTTTCTTTCTTTCTTTCTTTCTTTCTTTCTTTCTTTCTTTCTCTACATACCAACTGCTTGTGAACTCTGCTTGAACCTAAAAGGAGGCAGAGGGCCATAAATCACATGGACAATGCTCTACTGTTTGGGGGGCTCATCTTTTAGATCTCACACAGACACACACTCAGAGTTGTGAACGCACACATACAGACCTCCCCTCCCCCCTTCCTTTCTTTTCTTTCCCTTCTTCTTCTTCCTCACACGATTTGGCTTTACAAGGCTGGCCTAAGTGGAAAGCGCCTTTTAAATTTATTTATTTTTAAAGCAAGGGGGAAATTTTGAGGATACAGCTTTTTAGGGTGGGAGGCTGTGGAGAAGTCCTTCTCTATCCAGTACCCTAAGCCTCTCCAGAGGTTAACCTTGCCTGAACCGCAGCGCCCTTAGGCCATTCCTTCATCGCAACCATCTCCATCTCACCCTAGAAACCAAAGGGCACTAAAAGAAGCGCAGCCTCCTCCTCTTCCTCCTCCTCCTCTTCCTCCTCCCTAGCGGACCCCAAAGGTACCACGTGCCACGGGGGGACGGGGCCCCGACCTATGCCGGGCTCTTGATAACTTCCCGGCGCGCACAAACTGCTTTCGATCCGGTGCCTAGCCAAGGCATTCATAACAACCCAGTTCTCGACCAATGCGTCCCACTGCACTTAATTCTGCTGGGGATCAATATCTAATATGATACCGAATAAATAAAAGGCACTAAGAGAGGCCGGAGGAGTGGTTATTAAGCAGCCGAGTTCTCGCAGCGCATATCAATGCACCTGTCACGGCGGCGTGTAGCAAAATTTATGACTGTTGGCGCTGGGCAGTAAACGCTTCAGTAAGAAATGGAAAGCGGAGAAAGGAGAAGCAGAAGCAGCCACAACAGCTGCGTAGGAGAGGGGGAAGGCCGGCCATAGAAAGAAAGCTTTCCCCCCCCCTCTCCCCTCCCGACGCTGCCCGACGCCGCCAAAAGTGCCTGCGAGGCGGAGAATCTGTATATAAAAGGCCGCCGCGACGGTCTTTCTTTCTTTCTTTTTGGCAGTACCCTTGCTTCGGAGGTGAAGAGACTGTTTCGCCCACAGGGAGCCCCGCCGCGTATTTTAGCTCGAAAAATGCCATTTCCCCCCGGCCCCCCCTAGCCAGAGATGATTTTCCAGGTCTTCGGTGGAAGACAGGCCTGCAGCGTCCGCCAGGAAGGAAAAAATACACCCCACATTTCTACCGGGCGAGGAAGGGGTGATGGATGAAAATGGGCCGTGTCGGCCCGCCACCCCGTATCACTGGGGTTGGAGAAGCCCCGCTAGCCATCCAAAAAATCCGCTTCGCCTTTTCTGTCCCTCGGCCCTCTTCGCCCTCTTACCGCTAACTCGCAGTTTGCAACGCAGGTTGGGCTGCTAGTAGGGACCTTTGCAGATCTGATCCGAATTCAGCCTTTGTAAGCTCCCTCGGTCTGGTCCTTGGGAGTTTTCTCTCCAGTCCCCCCCCCGCCCTCCCCAAACGGGGAGACGGGGCTTGAAATAGCTGGACTAGAACCGAGGCGACCCAGTTCTTTGAGCGTCCGGTCCGATCAGGATGAAGGTTTAGAATGGAGGCAGAAAGTACATTTTTGTGGGCTCGACAGGGATCATTGGGATATGGGCCCATTAAAGACTTTTCCCATTCCTTAAAAAAAAAAGAATAAATAATGATCTACTAAAGCCTGGGATGGATATAAATGTTACTGAGGGCGGAGGATAACGTTTATGGTAGCAATAACCTTTTATCTGTGCGCTCCAAGTGCATTTTAAGGCAGTTGTAGATCAACCTTTTTATGAATAGTCAGGTACTTTACATTACATTATGTGTATTAAAGCTCCTGGGGGAGCCACGGGAGAGAGAGAGAGAGAATGTGTTTTTTTTTTCTTTTTTGATCGTTTTTCTTTTCTTTTCCGACCTCTCCCATTGGAAACAACATTTATCGGTAATAACCCACGTGGAGGAGAGAGGCAAATGTGCACAAAACCATTGGGGTTTTTTTTTTAAAAAAAAAATTTTTTTTTTGCAGACAAACTCACCCCTTTCACGTTTTTTCTTGAATTTTATCTGCAAAGCTGTGGGGACGGTCTTGTGGTTCCCTCGGATAAAACAATGAGATGCACCTGGAACAAAGGGGCACATTCAGTGGATGCACTTTTATCTCGCCCCCCCTCCCCACCCGCAGTTCTGAACCACTGACTTCATAAATAATGTATCCGTGAGGCAGAGCTATTTCTCTCACAGAGTCTAATACAATGGCTCTTATTCTTTTTTTTTTCTTTTTTGCCAAAAGCTCTTAGATTCACAGGCCTGGAATAGCTATCTATCTATCTATCTATCCTCTATCAGGAGTATAGATCTGAATTCGCTTACTTTTAAAGGCAATTCATATTTGCCAACTATTATTGTCCAAACCCTCGAATAATTTTATTGTATCCGGTATACATGAAGGAACATCATCTCCTAATATTTAACCATTTAAGGACATAAGTAATTGCAAAAGCATGCTAGGATATCAATTGTGGCTATAATCTCTCTCTCTCTCTCTCTCACACACACACACACACACACACACACTTTTTAAGTTGAACATTTGCAATGAGGAAGAGCCTTTCTTGCTTTTGTTTGTCTTTGTGTAGGAGTGTTTAAAGAAATACTAAGGTTAGACTACGCCGGTTGTGTAATAACTTTTTTTCTGAAGAGAAAGAACGCGGGGGGGGGGGAGTTGATTGTACATAACCTTGTGCCCAGCGACAGGGCCATGTTTCCGGAGGTTTAAGGAGAAAGGAGACTCCTATTGCACCCAAAAGACCTAATCCGTTGCAACACCCACGCACTTAATTCAGCGTCTTCTAGTTTAAGTGTCTCAAGGCTGGCTAGAGTTTATTGCCTCTCCTCTCCCCAACCGTCGGACTGACTTCCCAACCAGTCTTTTACTCTTTTAGTGCACCTTTGTACAGATTTCACACCAAGGACGTGCTGGGCAAAGCTTAGGCAGGCATTTGCTTTGTTTTAATCGAAGACAATATCAATTTTAAACCTCCCCCCGCCGTGCACCTAAAACCATTCCCACGCTGTGCGTATAGCCGCCTGTACCCCTAACTCTGCTCCCCCAACTTGGAGGACGTTAATAGAACTACTACGGGGCGGGAAGGGGGGAGCTCCCCACAATGAAGCCTCAGTCATTAGAAAAAGACCGTTTCACCAGCCTAAGCCTTTGAAATGACCTTTGGCTGGGATAGCAATAACTCACCACTCAATCAAGAACCCAGCTTCGGGAACCCCCTCCAAGACCGGCCCCGAAGCCAGCTCCCAACTTCTTCTCTTAGCCTGAGCCAAAGGCAGCTGGGGAGGCTTCTCGCTCTCCAGCCACTTTCAATTTATGGGATTTCGGGAAAGCGGAGTTGACTGGCCGCCCCTCCCGATGCTGCAACCTGGATCCCAGGTCCTCCAAGGCCTGGCCTGGCCTGGCCCAGCCGGTATTTTACAACATATATTCACGTGGAGGTGTGGGGGGGAAGGATGTCAATTTTAGGGCTTTTATTTATTTTTCTCCTCTCCCCCCCCCCGCACCCAAAACACCCCGAAATTCATTAGGAATGGATGTTGCGTACAGTGGCAGAGTAAGGCTTAATTTGGGGGGGGGGGAGAGAAAAACAAGTGGCGGTGGTAAAGGGAGGGCACCCTATAGAAGAGTGTGTGGCGGAAGGGTCATTATTTGCCAAAGCTGGCGGTTGATTAACGTGGTAAGTTTTCCTTTTGTGCCTAATTAATTATCGACTTCTGAATCCTTCTGCAGAAGCAAACGCGACCCGGTAGGGGAAAAAAGCTGCTTGCAAATGTGGCTTTTCCCCCAGATCGTGAGAAAAAAGCGGAGTCATCTGCAGCCTTTTTACTCTGACCGTTTCGAGCTGGCTGGGGAGCGGCCCCGTCTTGGAACAGGAAAGGAAGCTCCGTCCGGCTGTCCTGGCTCCTCCAATCCCGCGCTCTTTCCTCCTGCACCTCCTGCTGCTGCTGTTGCTGCTGCTGCCGCCGCGCATCCCGATGGGAAGCCCTCAACCTGTGCTCTTTCCCCAGTTCAGGATCTGTGCTGAGATCGCAGCAGGGCCGGCCTCGGATATGGTTGCAGGCCCACGGGAAGGAAGGAAGGAAGGAAAGAAATAGATGGAGATAGATAGATAGATAGATAGATAGATAGATAGATAGATAGATAGATAGATAGATAGATAGATAGATAGATAGATAGATA